TCATGATTGTTTCCCACGTCAAGGCTGAAGTGTCACCAGTTTCTTTTCTAACAACTTGGCATAGGTGAAAGGAAGGAGGGCAAAATGGAATTAAAAGCACTGTCCATGCTGCACTGCATAGTCATCCAGCCTCTGCTCTCTCTGTGCATTGCTTGAATGTGGGCACACTACCTCTGGCTCTGCTCACCCTGGGCAAGGCAGATGTCTCACAAACCGGCAGCATCATGGGCAGGCGTCTGTCTTTGCCAAGACTCTCCTGGGGATTTATTCCTTTCCACACAGGGTGGTGGTGGGAATCGGATGCGCCTTTACAACTTGCAATTACATGGTACCTTTCACCCCAAAGGACTTACAATAAGTCAGTCTCCAGACTGTAAAGGGATCATTCACTCACCACTGAGAGATGTCCACCACTGGAAGGCGTAATTCTTTCAATGAAGTTCAGCAGTGTTTCCCAGCTACTGGGGGTCCAAGGGCAGGAGAGAAGGGACTCCTGTGGTCTCTTGGCCCTGAGTAGGGAATGGGTTGGCAGGGTGCACAAACTGGTCTGATCTTTGGATGCTGCCAGGATGCTAGAGCTCTTACGAAAGAGAACCGAAGAGTACTAAGGAGATCGTAGTTTTGTATCATCCTTGGCTCCACTGCTCTCTTCTAGGCCATTGTTGTGTTAGATAACTTCATTTTTCTTCTCCTTTTGTGATTGTTATTTCCACATCTGAAAGTGTACTTGTGGCTGTGCTTGCTTCTACTTTGTCTAAATAAGAAAACCACATCTCCATGGAGTTTTCAGTCCAAAATTAGTATATTTCACTATATGCACCTTAAATATTTCTCTAGACTTCATTGTGGCAAGGGGGGTGTTTCTGGGAGCAATGTGGTGTTTTGTATTAGTAGATTTACCTTTTACATGTTGGGCTCTTCTGTTTACTTTTTTCTTGCCAAAATACACAGTTATGTTGTAGATGCATTTATAGAGCAGTTGTCCATTTCTACTTTCTGGGAGTTGCTGATATTATTGCATCCAGTCACAGTTCATACCATCTTGAGGAGTACTTGTTGTTAATGTGTTTCAAGCCTAGTTGCTTATTTACCACCTGTATTTATTGGTAATAATACTGACTACAGTACAGGTTTGTAAGTGGGAAGTGTGTATGAAGGAGAGAATGTGCACGTGTCTGTGCATGAGGATGAACTCATCTGACCAAGGCTGTACATGCTCAGTTGCCTGAAACGTGGGTAACACACAAGTTGGCTCCCTTGGGGTAATCTAACTTGAATTGGGTGTACAAATGCTTGTAGGTACTGAAACTAACTTGTGCTCCTGACAGTTGCATAAGACTAGTGAAGAGCTATGTTCCTCTGAGCTGTCCTCGGGATGCTGAGGGAGCTCAGCCCCATCCAAGGTCCTGCTTGAACGTGAGTTGAGGTGTGAGTGGATGAAGCCCATATGGGTGGGGAAAGCTCCTTCTGTAGTTCAGAAGTTGGTTCATGCAGAGAGAAGCGTGGACAAGTGACTGAGAAAATGTATATGTACAGGGGGGAGGAAATATGAGGTGTGTGAGAGCAGGTAAGTCTGTGCACAAACTGTATGCAAGTGGGCACAAGTGTGTGTGACAGAACATACAACCCAGCATGTGTGCCCTCTTGCCAGCAGTGGTTTACTTCTCGGGCTGTTTTCCAGCTGTGTAAATACGTTGCTTAACAAATTGAGGGCTCTGGTTAATGATCCCCTTTTAGCACAGGGCCCATATTAGGCTCCATTTTATGCAAGTTATCCAGCTGCCTGAATACCACTAGGGTGATCACACTGGGCTTTAATGTCAAATGCGGAGTGTTTGTACGCTGAGGAGCTGCTGAGGCAGTCGGCCTGGGGTTGCTCAGCGAGGGCTGTCAGGAAGGTTTGTGGCAAGCTCCCCAGGGTCTGCTGTAGCTGGAGAATTCCAAACAGCCCGCCTTAGTCAGAGTGACATCCCTGGCATCACAGGCTGGTGCTGGGTATATGAGGAGAAGGGCAGGATGGCCTGGACACTTGCACCGATTCCAGGGAGACAGTTGGATCAAGCAGCAGGATAGGAGGAACGTGTTTCCCTCTCTGGCAGCCAGTCCTATTCCTTGTTCTGAGAGCAGATCTAGGGAGTTTTGCCTTGCATTGCTCATCAAAGCTAGACCACCACATGCTGAGATCCCAAATGGTGTCAAGGACTAAGTCATATCAGGGCCAGTCATCCCCATAGCAGGATACAAACTCCAGAGGAAACACAAACTTCTGTGAAGAGCGGGCCAATTTGGTGCTGGTGCTCATTCTTCTTTCCATCAAGGTCCCTAGCAGAGCTGCTGCTCTGTCATCAGCCATACAGGCAAAAGAGAGCCCCATGCTGCTCAAAGTTATAAACAATTGTGGAACAGTCATCTTATGGAGGTAATTGCATTACTGCCCCTCCTGCACCTGCAGTTAGACATGAAGTCCTTCCTGCCCTGCCTTTGCCTGCAGTTGTGGTGTTGCGCTGTCAAAAGCCACCATCATGTTGCTGCTTGAGAGGCATCACAATGAGCTGCAGTGTGAACTTACTTGCAGCCACCCAACTGCCTGTGAATCTCTGCATCTTGCTGTCTTCTTGTGTCCTTGTACTTTGCCTCCACACTTGCTCTGTGCCCATCTCCCTTGTGGTGCTCTGAGAGGGTGCTCTGCTTCTGTGTCTTGGCCCCAGATGGCCTAGAGAGCAGCCTCATGGCTCCTTCTTATCCAAAGCCTGGTGAGTTTTGTGGATGATTTTCATCTGTCCTCTGGACCCATTTTTCCCCAGCCTCTATTCCATCTGCTGTTTGCCAGAAATGAACTGATTCAGCTGCCTTGCCTAATCCTGTCTGGCATCTCAAAATGGAGGGGACTGCCAGGTTCTTTGTTCCTGTTCCCTCTTGGCACTGGCAGGGGACCTTCTCTGCTCTGGAGAAGGACAAATGTGCTGATTTATTCTGCCCCTTAGATTTGAATAGGGGTTGCTATGTTACCCTCAGTCTGTGAGGCTTGCCAGAGCACACACCATATATAACCCCACAGCAGGTGGCTATTGAGTAAAGGCCCTTAAATCTGCCTCTCTTGTTTCTTATGTTGCTGGCCACGGTGTCAGAGGGATGAAGCAGGGCATGATTTGTTGTCTGGAACTCTAGTCGCAGCTGATGCCAAGCACCATGTTGGCATTTTCCGTTCTCAAGTGCCTATCTTAATTTGCAGAGGAGGGATCCACAGGCAGAAACGCACTGCCTGTGCTGGCTTTTAGAGAGGCCATTTGTGATATGAAGGCTGCTCCATGGCGCTGAGTTGTGACCAGGATCTGGGAGGTAGACGCTTCCACATCCTGCTGCCATGACTGCTGCATGTGAGGCCTGGCTTGGAAGCTTTCAGAGCTGTCTAATTTGGTGTGACTCTTTGGGTGACCCTGGCCACTTGGGCAGCTTTCTGGGAAGAGATGCATGTGCCATCTCATATGTGGTTGCTGCTGTCTGAAAAACCTGTGTTTGAAGTGCTTGAAGTGCACTGGTGCTTCTGCTCACTAAAACAAAGTTCCTGAGATATGAATAGAAAACACTTCCTATGTGCTAGAACTGAATTGTCTATTTAGCATCATTGTTCCTCTGGGATTCATGGATCCAGGGTGACCTAGTGAGGAGCAGCATTTCTATTATATCACACTGGATCCTCACTCTAAATCTGCTTTGACCATACTCTGAACACCAGCAGGGGAAGAGGGAAGAACTATCTTTAGAGGTCAACATTGAACCTAAGCTTGAATGACTTCAGGTGGGATTATTATTATTATTATTATTTTCACCAAGCATCTCCCAGCCATTCCTCATCAATTTGTTCTGGAAATGTGTAAATTAAACCATGGGTCAGGCAGTTCCAGTGCTCTACAGGTCCTACATGTGTGTACCCACCTTACAGACAGGACTGTTCTGGGAATCTGTCTTCATTTAATTTTGCCTCTTCTTATAAACAATCTTCATTCAGGGAAATGCCCTCATAAGAGGCCTGGACAGCCACTCCAGTGTGAGACAGAGCTGGCTTAGATGTCACCTCCTAGTCTAGACTTAAGGCCTGGAAGGCCTGATTTCCGAAAATGTTGAGCACTGGCACTTCAGCTAGTTTCCCCAGGATTCTGAAGAAGCTCTGGAGCTTCTGAATACCAAACTTGCTCACAGAAGCCCTGCCAGCATGGAGATTACCAGAAATATTAATGAAATACTTCTGGGTGTGAACTGATTTCAGGAACAAATATCGTGTTTGTCTATTACAATGTGGAAAGAGCAGAGAGGCTGCAGGTGGATTAGAAGTGAGATAATTTAAGAATCAAGTCAAATAAATTAGAGAGGAAGAGAAGACAAAAACAACGGGTAAGAAGAAACGTGGTAAATGGGATGGGAGGAAAAACAATGATGAAAGCCTAAACTGTAAAGTCTGGAACCAAAGCTCTGGAGAGTTTCTGTGTGTCTAGGACTTCATAGTTCGAGAAACAGTGATTTGTAATTTCTTACAGGAGAGCTGTTGAAAAACAGGACTGAGAAATGAGTCTTCAGAAGTGACCTGGTTTATCTGCCTGCTTTAAAAGCATAGTAGGTCCCTGCTTTAAGGACAAGTGAATCTGAATTTTACTCATCTATATATTGCCTTCTGCCAGCAATGGTGATGGGACTCTGAAAAATGTACTCCTGATTATTCTCACCTTGTTCTACATACCTGAGTGGCTACAGGCACGATGAATCCTGGTGATTTAGATTTCAGAGACTTCAGTCTTGAGAGGGGTGGCATACTCTACACAGGAGGAGTAGGAGCAAGGAAACTAGCCTGGGCTGGTGCTATTTGCTGCAAGTACAAGTATGACCACTCATACAAGGAGGTGTGATCGTACCAGAGAGGGAGTGAGAAAGAGTTTGAGGCAAGAAGCTCACTGCTTGCAGCGTATGTGAGTACTGACTTCATCACTCTTTGTGTTCCCCCGCAGAGCATCAACGGAGGCCGCCCGCCGCCTCACTTTGTGTATGATCCATCCACCTTTGCCTTCCGTTCCCTCAGCACCTTGAAGCCGCTGAGCCCAATAGCTCCAGTGGAAGAACCGTCATGTGCCTACTGAAGGAATTTCTCCAAAAACCTCAGGAACTATCAACCAACCGCCTGCCTGGCAGTGGGAAGGGACGTGGCAACACCCGGGGGTTGGGTGTGGGAGAAGGGGACAGTGACACATCTTTGCAATGCAGTCTCCCTGGCAGCAGGAAACATACAGCTTTGCAGCAGTGACTGGTTTCATAGCATTGCCACATCTGAGCATTAGCAGGTGAAGAGATTTTTGTCTTTGAAGTGTAAAATGGGACAGGTGACAGGTTCCGGACTGCGAGGACAGCCACCAGGGTGAACACATGGATGTGATAGTTGGAGATATCCCTGAGGGGTTCAGGGGCTAGTATAGCCTGCATGGCAGCAGTGAAAAGTGATCAGGTCCAAACAATTTTCCAAGAGTACTTGGGTCTACAGTACTTTGGTGTAGACTGACCATTCTTCTCAGAAAAAGGAGGACAGGATTGGAAACAGAGGCTGTACTGGGCTGCTTGCAAAGAAAGAGGATCCCTCTCTGAGACTGTTAGGATTGTATTAAATTTAGGCTTTCTTGAGCGAAGACCCTGGGAGATGGATGTAGGATGGGGTAAGTAGAAGATATAGTTCCACATTCCAGCTAGTCTGCTGGCTCAGTAATATCATCTAAAATGAGACTGAAATGGGAGGCATGAGCATTCTGGTTATACAGTGGGAGTTAAAATAAAGTTACAGAATAAGGATTTGTGTTCAGCCATCCAAAGAAGCAGAGTGCCCACCTTCAGTTCTCTCTTGGCATCATCAGGGAGAAGAACATGAGTGTGTCTGTGTACTCCTGGGTCTCCTCTCTGCTGAGGCTGCCTCCGTTTGGGGATATGCAGCATTTGTCCACAGCATTGTCCCAGTACTGCTGCACCTGTTGTGATACTGAACACAACTGGCATCATCAGACTCAACAAATCAAGTGTCTCCAGCAAGTTGTCTGTTACCCCATTAGGCTGGCTATTAAATTCAGATAGACCTCCGTTCTGTCCCAGTGGAGCAGGTATTCCTGTATGTAGCATAAAGTGGGAGGAAGAAGTCTTGTAGCCATCTGCTGGCAGAAGAAACAAGAAGGAAGCTTCTCTATTAACAGTCTTACAGCAGTTAGGAACCACAGCAAGTCTTGTTACCACTGGAGTCTAGCCTTGAGGCACAGATGTGCTTTGTGCTACAAGGCATCAGCTAATGGGAGAAGCTGTCACCTGTCATAGTGAGGCAGAGGAACAAGGCATTTCCTCTTGCTGCATCTGATAAGTCCCTATTGCAAGTACCTGGTGGAGGGAGTAATGTCTCAGCATTGGAGGGAGTAATTGTCTCAGCATTCTTCAGCTTGAATCTGTATCTGACTGGGTACAAGCGAGAGTGTGTAATTTACTTGTCTGGATCAAGAGGAGCAACTGTGAATAGTAATATAAAATCGGTTTTATTTTTAAATCTGCTCCACTGTACCACTTTTTGGATGAGACCAGGGGTCAGTACAGCTCTCAATAGGAGGCCATAGACTGAACCAGCACATGCTGATACTTTCTGTGCTGTGAGACCCTGGGGGAAAAGCCTGAAGGTCACCTAGGCACAGGGACATGAATCTCCTACCACTACCCATCCGCTGCCTCTCTCGGGCAAGCAGAGTGCCTGGGCAAGGCAGTGAGGGGGTATCCATCCTGATGCTGTCCAAGCTCTGCCTGCTCCTTGGCTCTAGAGTATCATGGCTGGACCACATCCTGCACCAGCACTGCCTCCAAAGGACTGCTTGGGTTTTGTGGTGAGGTGCTTCAGGCAGATCATCGTGATTCCCTGCAAAAGTCCCTTTTTCTGACTTAGGCAAATTTCTCTGCTGATTCTTCCCACTCCTGTAGAGACTGCCTGTTTTGTTTGGATGGCACACCTCAGCTTTTAACTGCTGCCAGATTGAGCTGACCAGGGCAGGACAGGATGCATCACCGCCTCAGAGCAAGTGCCCGTGCTCAAGAAAAGGGGCAACTGCAGCCCACTATTCTGCAGGTGGAATGCAGCCCTCATGGCCTCTCACCTGTGCTTTTGAGGTGCTTCCCTAGAGCTCTATTCCTGCCTGCATGGATGCTGCAGACTGCCTTCCCTGGGGGCCCCACGAATGGGAATGTGGATGTCCTGCCTGTATTGTTGCCTTTTAGTACCTTTTGTAACTTTTCTCTCTGTCTTTTCTTTTTCAATCTGAAGGAAAAATAAAAATAATGAAATAAAGTGTAACAGCTGCTATATTCACTCCTCTGATAGGTTTCATGCATTTGCTATCTTCTGGGCATCTGTGGGCAGGGGTATAAGAGGGGATGGAGTAGAGCAAGTTGTGATACATCACAGTCAGTCCCAGGCACTCCAAAAATCACAAGCTATGCCTGCAAGAGAATGGCTTTGGAGACAAATAATCAAGAACTTTTATGTAACAAACATCTATTTTATCCACAAGTAAGTGATCTCCCTTGTGCATCTACTCCTGGTACGGTATATCAGCCCTCACTGGTGCTCCTCCCACCTAGGAGCCCCTTTGGCTACTGAGTAAGCAGCCTGTTGCATGGGGGTTGTATGTGATCTGGCTGGAGGTCTCCATTTCACAAACAAAAGGGTGGGTGACTCCACAGCTGAGCTTGGGCTCATAATTTTAATCCTCTGTAAGTCTTATGCTTTTTTTTCTTCCCACTAAGTCTCTCAGCAGCCTTTTTGCTTGCAGCCAGGTGCTCATTCTGCTTTCCTCAGCAGCATAACAAGCTCACCGTTTTCTCTTGATCTTGCTCTAAGAACCCCATTTCAGGTACTAGTAACCATAATCCCCTTCCCCTTGCTATCCCCCTGGACTAATTCCTGCCTCTGCCCTCATGCTCCTAGCAACTTATCTGAACCAATCTCTCATAAGGCTCTTGCTTAAAGTCCTGACCCCTTTTCTAAGGCCTCACAGAGACTAGCTTAAATTCCCTGAGCAGTCCTGCTTAGGCTCATTCCCAGGAGGCCCCTTCTGCTCTTCTATCTAAGCTCCCATCTCCTCTAGGCTCTGTGCCACCTCTCTTATCCTGAAATCCTCCCCTCTCTGTCAGCTGCAGCTCATTGTTAATTGGCCTTGGCCTGTTTTCTGAGGTTTCTGTAAGGTGTGCTTGCTGTCTCCTCTGCAGGGTTGCTTTTCTTTGTGGTGTTGTTTTATTCTTCCTTCCATCTGTTTGTCTGTCCAAAACAGCTTGACTTTTTGGTGTGCCCATCTCTGGTTCCCTAGATGCAGTTCAAAATGCAGTGGCCTTATGTCTCCACAAGCCTAATAACCTGTCAGGCTGTGCTTGTTCGTAAGTGCAAAAGTGCACAGAGGGCTGTGCTTAACTCATATCATCTGTGCTGTATGTACCCTCCTGAAGCCAGAGTACAGCAGAAAGCTGGCACAGTGCTTTGCAGGGTGCAGTCAGCTACTTGGTCTGGATGAGCCAGGGCCCCCAAGGCTGTAATCTAGCTCTCCAGTGTATATTTAGGTTACATTATATTTTGCCCATGCCTCAGTTTTCCTATAAGCCGGACTTCCTCGTTATTGACAAAACAGGACAATTGTTGTGGTAAAACATTATTGTAAGAAGCCTTGATAAAGCAGCAACTTTGAAGCTAACAGAAAAACAGGTTGGTGGTATCCGCTATGGTCTCTGTAGTTCTTTCTAGTTGCGGCAACCAGCGTAGCTTACAAAGGAGGCTAAGGATGTTGGCCGACTTTGAATGCTGAATCCTGGCATGTGGGAATGGGGCTTGCTGGAGACAAGTGAGGAAGCCATCAGCAGAAGCCAGAGAAATGGGAGCTGTAGTCTCCTGAGAGCCTCCTATTGCTTCCTGCGGCATACATGCAGGGCTTTCCACTTCTGTGGCTCCCAAAATACTTCATTCAAATATTCTCTCCACTGCTGGAAGGGGCAGCACACAGGCTGCAGTACGAGCAAAGTGCTTTGTGAGTGCAGTCAGCTTGGCATAGGGCCCTTGCGACCTGGGGATTGTTGGAACTCCTGGCTGCAGAGCAGCCTCCCAGTAGGTTTGGGCTGTGGTTCAGTGGGAGGGGAGCCCATAATTTCTAAGCTGAAATCTTTCTCTGCTCCTATCTGATCTTGCTTGAGACATGCAGGTGTTTCCCTTCAGAGCAGAAAACAGACCCTGCAATCCCTCTGGAATTTAAGTGGGACCATTACAGTCTAATAGTGTTCTCTAGTTAATGAATCAGGTTTGGTCTGTTACCTTTTTAAATTAAGGGAACCAAGCTCACAGCAAAATGGGTTGTTCTATGCATAGTGTGAGTTATCATCCATTCACAGCCACCACACAAGGTCAGCTTGTTGTGCCCTATTTTCTTCTGTGTATATACATGTATATGCACACACACGCACATGACATATGTTTGTTTCACTGGACTAAGAAATCTCTGTACTGTTACATCCACTCACAAAGCAGTGTCCTCTGTCCACCTGGGTCTTTGACACGTGAAGCCCACCCTGCAGCACACTCACATACACCTGCTGAATGCTTAGAAAAAAACACCTACCACCTGTTTCCAGCTGAGGGCTGATCACTGTTTACTTACTAGATTGAGTGAGAAAGCAGATGAAATCAGGTTGCTGCTAAAGCCAGGGTTCTCAGCCCAGGCTAAGATGGAGGCCACCAAAATACAGCACAGAAGCACCTCAGCTACAGAACATTCCTCTGGCTGGATCATCTCCCCTCAACAAAGTAAGGCTCTCCCTTGTTCTTTCTGAACTTGCACAGTATATTGTGGTAAGGTGGGGGGTGGAAGAATGCTTTTATGTGTGTGTATCAGGTTAGAGTAGGAGGGAGTATGTGCCAGCAGTGTGGTTGTGTAGGCTCAGACTGTGCGTACAGAGGCATTTCTGTGGTGGTGGCGTTTATATCTAAGTGGAAGGAAACTTCAGAAGAGTAAAGGCACTGGATATGTATGCAAGCATTGGCATGGCAGGGTGATTGCTGGTGGATGCCTAGCTGGGGCATGGACAGAAGATCTCGTGCTGACAAGGGGCACCTTTGAGACTGTGTTTGCAGTGTCTGTAGGTAGAGGAGATGGGGAATGTTGATACAGGACATCTGAAGGCAAGGGTGATGAGGAGCATTTGCTGTTTCTGCAGTCTCAGTCGTTTGTGGTGACAATTAGCAGACTTTTGTAATGTGTCCCACCAGTAATGTTAGGGGAAAGTAAAGAAAAAAATTATGGATGGCTGTTTGTGTCCTTGAGGCAGTTGGGATTTTTCACCCCTGAATTAAAAAGAAGGAGGCACCTGGACAACAGTGACTCAAAACAGAGCCACCTCGTTTCAACATAGTGCTTGTATGCACTGTTCTCCTCAGACAAGGCCTTCGGGGACATCAAATAAAGCTAGCAGGTGGCAGGTTCAAAGCAAACAACTGGAGGCAGCTCTGCAGAGTGCGGGGTTGCACTGGGAATCCTGTGCCACAGGACACAGCGACTGATAAATATTTACATGGCTACAGACATGAAAAGAAAGAAGGAAATCAAATCCCCCCCAAGAAATACTGCATGCACAAATGCTGCCTCCAGCTGAGGAAGGTGGGGCGATGAGAAGGCTTCTTAGGGCAGTTTGCTGTGTGCCAGCCCCATGTTGTCCTTCTCTGGGGATTCTTCACCTTCCTGTTCTTTCCTGGATTGGAAGTAAGTAAGTGCCTCCAAACAGGCACGTCCACTCTATTTTCTTACCAAGTGCCTTCTTCGTGTTATTATCAAAAAGTTTAATTTTATTTTATTGTCTTGGATATCCTGAGTAGGTAACAAATGGCCTGGATAAAGGCTAAGCCTGGTTCCATGGAGGCCTGAGGCAAAACTCCCAATATACATCTTACAAAAAGGGCAGTGAGGCATTGGCACAGGCTGTCCAGAGAGGTGGTGGATTCCCTATCCCTGCAGACACTCAAGGTCAGACTGGACAGGGCTCTGTGCAACCAGATGTAGCTGTACGTGTCCCTGTTCATTGCAGGGGAATTGGACCAAAAGGCCTTTAAGAATCTCTTCCAACACAAATGATTCTGTGATTCAATACTTTTTGAATGTAGAAAAATCTCAGAACAAGTGTCCTCCAGTGACTGATAATCCCTTGTGCAGCAGTGAGCAAGCAGAAGAGGATGCAGCCAAAACAGCAGTGTGCTGCAGGAGGAGGTTAACATCAGTGGTGAGGACTACATGTAATCATGCTGGTATCTCACCATTTCCTGAGCTAGATTTTAGTGGGCTGACTCACAAAGTGAGTGAGGAAATGGAAGGTGCAGGCACTCCAGGAGCTAACTGGGGCTGTAGTTGCATGTGGCCTGACAGGCCTTGACCACATGTTTTCAGTTAACTGGGGACAGGATGTGCAGATAGCTCCAGACACATGCAGAGCCCAAAATTCTGTTTTCCTTTTTGTGGTTGCTCACATCATTGCCCGCTGTAATAACAGTTCAGTCTGTTAATGGGTTGGCCAGTAGTGATGGCACGTTCCTATCCGACATGTTTGCTGCATCGTAGCACTGAGGTCAAGTGAATGAAGGAACTGAAAGTGCTATGAGATTGAGCTGCCGAGTGGAGTGACAAATGGATATGACAAAGCCCCACTGACAGGAGAAATAGGAAGAAACTGAAGGGTCCCATGTGGACTTTTCTCAATCTGGTATGTCCCAGAGACCCTGAAGGGGGCTATGTAACACTGCTCCCAGGCTGCTGTTCTCAGTGTGGAGCAGCCTTGGAACACCCTGGCATGCTACACCAGCAAGTTTCACCATGTTTGCTGTCCACTGAAGAGTGGTATCACTTTAGTGCCCTGTACTACGCTGCTGTTGATGTGAGAAGCACCCTTTTCTCTCTGTCTGGCCCATTTTTTCTCTGGCCTCTCTGTATGCCTATCTTCTGTCTGACCCGTGTCTTCTGCCATCATTCTCTGTTTCTTCACCCCCTCCTGGTTACAGATACCTCTGAGGATCTGCGCTGAGCCACCCAAAACGTTTTGGCATCAGGGTCTTAGTGCAAGGAAGTGCTCACAGGTTTTCTCATCCTTGTTTTCTGCCTTGTTTCAGTCGTTAGTTTTGGGTCAAGAACACTTAAATATATACAAAATTGTACTCTCCCTATAAAAGGCTGGAACACCTTTGCCATTTTTTTCCCCCAAGTGATTTCCATCATGGATGGTTTTGTTGCCAACATGTGACATTTAGCCCAGACCTCAGAAAGGCTCCTGCTCAACAGCAGGGT